TAAATTTAGTTACTGTCCATAGCTGCAAGTGACACATCAGCCCTAAGGTTTTTACAAAGGCTATATTTTCCAAGAATATGATGTGTATATATATTTAAGATTTTGTACATAGCAAACAAAGTGCAGATAAGAGAATGTGATGAAGCAAACATTCACTGACAGATCTGTTTGTAGTGTCAAGACAAACATCTTATGCTAAAAACAATTTCTTTTAAACAGGCCACAGAAAGCACAGAACATGTTTTGTTGCGTATTTAAGTTTTATTTTTTACCTCTCACAACAGTACCACAAGTGGCTTTTTGCCTCAGTAAGATTCATTCCCCTACATCCAGACACTTTAGCGCCTCAAACTGGAAACCTAACTGGAAAATGCAAGAGTTATTCACTAAGACCTGACCAACCGTAAAACAATGCATGTGATCACGATAGAGATGTAAACACTTACTCTCTGTGGGCACTGACAGCTACATGCTAAAAATGAGAGATATTTGGCTGAAGTCTGGTGGAAGGTTATCATCAGTCTTCTCTGTATACAGTAACTATTCAACACAGCAGCAGCTGATAATATCTAAGAGACAGTCTCAGCATCTTTAAGTCTGCCAGTTTACTTTCACTGAAATTAACTGAAAGCAATAACTGGCTGGAAGAAAAGAAATCAATCTGCAAACTGATGGTTTCATCTGGAAAATGAATAGCTCTCCTGAGGACTGCTTTACTCTTTGGCAACACTGACAGTAAAGAAGTACTGTGTGTTACAGTTAATTGTGTGTGTCTGCAGCATGTGTCGATACTCAGTCTGGTATTGAGTCTGTGCGTCTTTGCTCCAGTGAGAAATTCACCTTCATGTACTGCCCGTGTACATTCAATTAAGCTTGATTTTATTTGCATTTTAATTCTTACTAGCAGCTGCAGTTCTTCACACAGTGTTTCCTTTTAATACAACAAGGGATGAATCATTTACATTCGTTAACTATTTAATTTTTTGGCAGCAGCGTCCTGATTTCTCATCACACACTTTCCCCCAAAAAAGCATAGTGAAACAAACTGTTCTTCATGATCCGGTCCTTTGTATCCTCCATAAAGTGCAGTCTGAGTGTGTCTATGATGCATTTTATCTAAAGAAACAAACTCATTGTTTTTTTACAGAACTGCCTGAGAATGCACCGAGCTGCAGGTGAACTCTGCCTCCTCTCCCCCCCTCTTGGTAAAATGAAGTCTTTACTGCCACCTGGTGGCAGGAGCAGTGATGTAAGTAAAATTCACCTGCTTTAGCTTTCTTCTCTCATCATTTTAAAAAGTCTGGACACTCTTGAAACAGGACCTTAGTGTGGTTTGATATTTTCATCCCAGTCCAACCTTCCAGAAGTAAAACACTTACTGATAGTGTACATTGTTCTTTAGAGAAAAACTAAATGTTGAGTGGAACCATAAGGTGCATTACTGAGGGAGCTGAGATATTAATAATTTAGTTCTTAAGTATTTGTAGATGTCATTATGAATACTGTATATATTACTTGTCAGATCTGGTTTAGCAACAGTGATGACACAAGCCAAAACATCAGCCCTAAAACTCCTGATTTAACTGGAGGCGTAGTTCTGTCTCAGTCTGACATGGGGTTATGTACTGTACACCCCAATCACTTGGTGATTCTAGTGTTTTTACACTTTCAAACAGTGAGCTCAGATTCCATCTCTGTTTAGAAAAAGCCAAAAATCTTTCATAATCCAGCCAAAGCTCTTCACTCAGAAAATATTTTTGGTGCTTTCTCAAGGTTTAGTAGAAGGATGAGCTCAACAAAACTTCAAGTCTCTCTTTAACATTTGCAGCTTTGTTCTCCACAGTTTAAAACATTCAGACATATTAAAATCTATTTGAGACCTCTGGTTCCTTTTAGGGAAACACTGATTCCTCTTAGTAAAAATCCCAAACTGTGAAGACAAAGCAGAAAATCTGCACCAGTGAGAAAAGAGGGTAAGCTCCTCTCTACTGCTGTTAGCCAGCTAACAGATGAGCAGGATACCAGCTGCTTCAGGCAGGGTCTGCTGTGGACGCCTGCTGCTAAGCCAGAGGTTTCCTATCTATCTATCTGAATGTGAGAGAAGGTGGGGCTGAGAAAATGACTGGATAAATAAGAAACATAAAAATAAAGTTAAAAAACTGAAATGAACTTCAAGCTCATGGATTAAAGGCAGAACTGGGTCTGAGGTAGTGTGGGGTACGAAACCTACAGTAGTTCAGATGCTGAATAAAACTAAGGGAATTATCACTGCTAGATCAACGATGTCTTCAGGAAAACTCAGACACAACTGCTTTGAGTCCAGAGGGCTGAGTTCGATTCCCGTGATTCCAAGTGAAGGAAACGTCCTTGACTCTGAATCCTTGCCTGCTCCACAGATGTTTCTGTGACCTCTGACCTCCACATGACAGAAACCAAGTCAGTTTCTTTTCACTGACTCACCTCCAGAGGAGTTTCCCTTTCACTCCTTAAAAATCAACAAACATCCTGCCCTCAGCTCACAGGAAGAAGTTGATTTTTGCAGGGATGGCCTTACAGCCAGTTGTGGAGAAATACTGTCCCTGGATGGGAGTGTAGATCATGTCGCCCCCTACTGCCTCCACCACATCACTGCGGCCACAGCGGCCTTGCTGGCAGAGCTGTGAGTGGGCGCAGCGCTCAATGTGGCGTCGGCTCAGCGGCAGGAAGGGTACGAAGCAGGTGATGAGATTCTTCTGGATGATGCTGGACTGGTAGAAGCCGCCTGGAGACAGAGAGTCATGTCAGTTTCATTTAACAGTTGTGTATCTGAGCTTGTACAGTAATAAACTGGCCAATTAGCTCATCTGATCAACTGACCACAGACCAGCAGCCGTTTATGTCTGTGTCCAACATTTAGCTCATGCTTATGCACCACTGCAGCGCACTGAGGATTAGCGTCTTCTGCAGAATATTACTGTGTACCAAATAAATATAAACTGACAGAACAGTGAAAAAGTCGGTTACTGTCTGAAACATTGCACATATTTTCCAGCTCAGTCGAAAAATGTTTGAAAACAGTGAAGTGTGCCCATCACAATTAGACTGCACTTACTCATGTTGCTGCTATAAGCTGCCTGTGCGATGGCCTCCTCCAGATCGGCCAACCTGATCTCCTCTCTGTCCCGTCCAGCCTGCCGGTTCTCCAGGGCCACTTTGTTAATCACCTCCTCTCCTGTGGTGCTGCAGGGAAGAGAGATTTCAAAGACCTGTCGAAGTCAGTGCTGTCTACCAGGCAAGTGATGCTGACTGATTCTGCTGAAGTATCCCTGAGAGAGAAACCTCGCCCCTTTCTGCACATTCAGTTTGGATAAAATGTCAGATCATTTGTTTCTGAAAGTCAGAAAAATTAAAGTCGACACCATTTGGTTTCATACCAACTTACAAAGAGGCATAAGCACTGGATTATAATTTTACTGAGAACGACAACACTGTCACATTATCAGAGAAAAAAAAAGCTTAACAAAATGACAGAGAGATGGTTAATGTTGTGCTGCAGCTGATGTCGACAGTGTGAGTATGTACCTGATGAAGATGTAGATGGCCTTGCGGTAATTGGTGCGAAACACAACGTGGGACGGACCGAGGAAGGGCTCCAGGACATCAATGAGACCTGAAGGCATCTTCTCCATTTCATCAAAAATGAAGACGGAGCGAGCGCACTCCGTCACGTTCCCCTGCACCCAGCTCTTTAGCTCCTCCTGCAAACCAAAGGAGGGAAATATAGTTGTGAGATCAGCTGCAAAGGTGCAAATGTTCCTGTTTCTAGAAGTTACAGTTGTTTAGCATTTATTTAATCTGAACAAAATCTCCTTCTTAGCATCTCATTTTATCTCACAACACATTTATTATTTTCTTCTTATTTTATGTAAAGCAATTTTAAACCTGTAATCACTCATCACTTCTCTAAGCAGTATTTAAATCACACTGCAACTTACCCTGTACTTTTTCACCAGCTCAGGTGAGGGGAAGTGCAGCGTGGGGACAAACTGGTGGACGTATGGGCTGCTCATGGCTGAACCATACAGGTGATTTCCCAGCATGGAGCTGACCAGCGTCTTTCCTGTCCCAGAGGAGCCATGGAAGGACAACACCAGGGGCCGATCTGGGCTTTTATTCTGAAGGAACCTGGCCACCTCCTCTGACACGATGTCCTGGGCCAGATGTTGTCCGTACACATTCTTGTAGAGGTCCCACTCCAGGTCTGGTTATCAGAAAATAAAGGCACCAGTCCCTTTAATGTCACTACCCACACCTAGGTTCTATCGGGACTATAGAATAAATCTGTTAGTAGCTACGTATATTTACTTCCATTTAGCAAATAATTCCCATGTAAGTATCCACAAACTGTTTCTGTCACACTTTAAAACTACATATTAAGACATTTCTGGTATAAAGCTTGTACCTTGCAAAACAATGATTTATTCCAAGTATTGTCCACATTGAGCAGCAGGCAGGACTTCCTTTGTTTTGCTAGCTAGCATAACAGCCAACTAGCAAAGCAGTGATTACAGTATCCGTCTTAATTAGCTCTTTGCCAACATTGTAGACTGAAACAGTAGCTAGTTATCCCATTCTGCACATGGACACTAATTTCTTTAACGTTAACTTACGTGTACTGAACAAATATAATCTTTTAGCCCAGCTATCTGGCTAACAAGCAGCAGCAACAGCCACGACAGAAACAAGTGGTCTTACCCCTGATACTTGGCTTAAAGTCGCAGTCACAGCTGTCTGCTATGGAGCAGTAAAGTTTCTGAAAAACGCAGCAGACTGGTTTACAATGAAATAAAAACAGCACATACAAGATGCCTAACATTTTGGCTGCCTACTGGCAGACAAAAAACACTGGCTACACCCTCTGACCACGACCGGACAGTTTGTAGTTTTTTCTACTTCCTGGAAGGCTTCAAAGACATGTAAGGAAGTGACAGAGTGGACTACATTGTTTGCCAATAAACCTCAGAAGAAGAATAAGGACGAAGAAGACCACATTTCCCAGACAGCATGGCTTCTGGCGTGTAGCAGAGGACACGTTGGAGGATCATAGTCCAGAAAGCATAGCTCACAGCATCTGGTAAAATATTACAGCAGCAGCGATTTTTCGATGAATTGACTAAAGGCCGCAACTACTTTGTTAACCAGTTTTTGTGTTTTTAAGAAAATATGTCAAAATTCTCTGGTTTCATTAAAACATGTCTCTTGGGACAGGAGACATTAATTTGGCCAGAAACAGTTTTATTAGCAACTAACTCAATAGAAAATCAACTTTTAGACACTTTTAGACAATTAAAACCTTAAGGTTTGTAATGATAATAAATACGTGCATACATCACTGAAGTAACATGTTCACAGGTAGAAGTTGGACAGTACTGTGGGTGTAGGACTGTTTCAGTGAGACAGGAATAAGTCATAACTGCTGTAATAGAGAGTATATTACCGGGGCAAATATAGAAAAGTTTGGATGGGGTGGCCAATCTGGGGCACAGACTCAGAGAGGGGTGGCACATTTCAAATAAATGTGAAAAGTAAATTAAATCCCTAGTTCTAGGAAATTATAAACCACGTTATTAAGAATCTAATTGTTTATTTTTTGTAAAAATGGAACACACATAGTGCTTTTTTTAGTTAACTTTGGTCACACTGCTTATTTAATCCAGGCTGAGGACAGGACCCCTTTTTATGAATGCAAATGTTATGCCACATGCATGATATAAAATGAGTTTGACCAATATCAGTTATAAAGCAACAGAAAATCTGAGAGGTGGCAAGATGATTAACATGAGAGGAAAGAAATAAAAAAGTTCTAACACATCTGTTTTTAGAATCTTTTATATCTTTAATTTTTTAAGTATTTGATTATGTGATGAGTTATTGAAATAAAACGTGGTAAATTTAGAGGGAGAGTGGATGAATGGGGAAACTAATAGCTCAAAGTACAACAAGGAGACACAGCTACACTGATTTAGTAGAAGAGCTCACATGACACAAACTTTGGAGCAACTGATTTAAATTGTACGTCACTTTCAGCTTTTTTCCTGTTTAGGGGGTTGACACACTGACGATTTGCATGTTGACATTTGGCATGTGCTTTTACGCCAGATGCCCTTCCTGATGCAACCCTCACCTGAACCCGGGCTGCAGTGGCACAAGTGCTGCCCCCTAACTCTATCAGGGAGCCCCAAGCATATGATTTAAATGTAACATTTAAACCTCAAAAGTATTGTCAGCAAGTGGCAATGAAAGTACTCAAAGTACATGTGGCTCAAGCAGAGGAAATGCACTTAGGTACAGTATACAGTATGTCATCACTGGCAACAAAGTGCAGTATAAGAAAATGTCATTTAAACAGCAGAGGGTGCCATTTATGTACAAATGCTGTCATTAAATTTATGGTTTCACTATTTATAGAAAAAACTATCTGACTGGAAAAAAACTGAACATAAATAACTTTATATAGTTTTTTTTAATGACAAAGTGTAGTAAAACCTTTTTAGACAACCACAGAGAGAGTTAGATTCAGGTTTCAGCAAGAGAGAGCAAGTCAGCAGTTGTGACCAGTTTGTAAAGATTGTTGTGATATATTCTCCCCCCAGACACATTTGTGATCAACCCACCTTGCACCAGAACACACCAGTCTGTGACCTCACAGTTCATAATATGTTGAAGTCTGTTTAAAAAAAACAATTTTTTTTTTAAATAAATGTGAGAAATCTGTAGGGGTTTCTATTTTACAATATGGATATCATTTAAAACTCATGTAACTGAGAGATGTATATAGCGAGGTAAATATGTTTATTTACATTTCACATTTCAGATAAATATTAGACATGAATTCTCTGTAAGGTAAAAGAAATGTGATATACTTGTGTGCGGCAGCTCAGTTCACTCTTCAGTCCAAGTCCCACAGTGATAATAACAAATACAGTAGATGTGATCATGTAAAAAACTGTACAGCTGCAGTTTGGAGGGAAACAGGAAGAAAAAGACACAAAGGCAAAACGAAGTGAGATTCTGGCACATCAGCCGTCTCAGCCCAGATTACATTAAATATTCTTGTCAAATAAAAAATCCTACTGCAATATTATTCTGTTATTAATTTGTACAAAGTGACATACAGTTGGTACAGCCTCGACACACACATAAAACCGTTCCTATACATGAACCCAAGACTGTGGCACCGCCTCATCTCAGTAACTGTTTTCATGAAAACAGATCTCAGGCTTTCTGCAGAACGAAATCACCATACCTCAGCATAAACCGGTACAGTACCACTTTTTTACACTGATATCTTGCGTTCACATTTAGGTTCACAGTGGGATAGACAAAGTTCTCTGGCAACAAAACTAAACGTGTTAAATTAAAAACAGTGGTGGGATCACATGCCGATTTCTGACCCTTGAACCGAAGCTTTGAAACATTGAAGTTGATGTTAAATGAGGATGTTAAATGCCTGTGACAAACAATTCAAATGTAGACCAAAGCAGGAGCTGTGACGCCACAACACTGGTGCTGCACTGCCACAGCCTTCCAGTGCTGTAGATCAGATGTGTCTGTGTCAGTTTGAAACATCATCATATGCTCCCTTGTAGCATCCTAACAGTTGAGCAAGGGATCAATAGGTAGATAGATAAACACTTTATTGATCCAGAGGGAAATTCAGGCAGGACAAGCTGCTCAGTGTCCAACAGATTGTCCTCCCTAGCAATGGGAACAAGGACATCTGGGATAAACAAAGTGATCAACACGGGTCTGGGATCAGTGTGCAGTGACAGGTGGCTCCAGTCTGTTGGACAAGGCAGTCAGCACCTGATCAAACTTGGCGTATCGCAGGGCCTGCTTCTCCCCAGCTCCCCTGCTCCCCCACAGCAGCCTCATCTGGAAGTCGGTCAGGAAGAGCTCCAGGAGTTCAGACTGCTCCTGGAAACCTGCAACATGACGGCAGTGTGGAAAGAAAACAGAGGACAACAGAGGCCCCAGTCAGTTCAAGAGTTCAGAATTGTTTCAGACAGTGTTTCTCCCTTTGTCCCGAGTCCTTGACCATCTTTATTTACTTTAAAAATCAAACCTGGGTGATGTGATAAATGTAATTTCATACAAATCAACTGAATGTGACAGAGCTGAGAACAAGGCTGTTCAATATTTCCTTAAAAGCAAATCTTACTAACAGCTGGACAGGTAACCCTGGTTAACAGTGAGTCACTCAGTGAATTGATAATTTAGCTACAAGTGAGACTCTAAGTCACTTAGAGACAGAAATCTGTCACAGCCAGCTTCCATCAGCACTGACTGGTTGTGATTTTGTGGTTGCTAGGACCTGATGTGAGCTAAATTAATTCACAGACGAATCACTAAAATGCCAATGATCATTTATTATTACAATAATACTACATGGTTCAACAATTTTGAAAGATAATCAGCAGTCTGAATGATAGGGGACAGAGTCACCATTCCTGCAGGAAATAATTGCAGTATTAGACAAGAAGACCGTCACAGAGTCAGTCAGTCTCTTTTAAGTCATAAGCACAGTCAAGTCCGTCACGTCCCCCTGGCCGGGGTCTCACTCAAACGTCCTTCTTCCGCATGCACACACACTACACTACACTACACTACCCTACTCTACTGCAGCAGCATCTCCTCTCATTTTGTACACTGCTCAATTTTGGCTCCCCTGCCAAGTCCCGAACCTAGTTAACAGGTCATCTCCAGATCAAGATGACCCAATGGGTTAAACAAACAGGCTATGAACCCAAAATGTTCTTACTTCAGCACGCACAAACTTTTTACACAGTAAGCTGACATAGTACAGAGGGCTTGCAGAAATTAGTTAACTGACTACTGCATATAGTAACTACATGTCATCTACACACACACTGTATTCTATTACATATTGTATTGTATTAACTGTAGCTTGTTTGCTTTAACCACTACAATTTACTCTGACCTGTATTTGACATCTACCTCTTCACAGGGTGACCTAAGTAAACTGTGCTGTTCTTATGTATAGCATGTGGACAACCTAAATGGATATGGCTTTCAGATTCCACCCAAAAGCGCATTAATCAATGTGCAATCAATGCAAATGACAAACTAACGGGGAGGCGACAGTGGTACGGTGGGTAGAGCAGTTGTCTCCCAACCGGAAGGTTGAAGGTTTGAATCTCAGTGCCTGCAGTCCACATGTCAAGGTGTCCTTGGGCAAGACACTGAACACCCCCGTTGCCCGTGATGGCGGCGTATATGCACACAGCGGCCCGGGGCCCTCGGCTCCAAACATAATTTCGTTGTACATGTTACAATGACAATAAATAAAGCTTCTTCTACTGTGAACTAGGTTACAGGAGAAGCTGGAGTACTGTGAATTTAACTGCTTTAGTTAAACTATAGTTTCATCTGGTTATTTATTGTGACATAGCTATAATGTCCAAACACCGACCAGCGGTACATTAAAGTTCTGAGTTTGTCCCCTTCTCACGTCTCCTACCTTGTAGTTTGCTCTCAGCATTAGAGCGGTAGATGCCTCCCAGCTGTGCAATGGTCCTAGCCGCCCCCAGGTGGAACATGACCACATCCACACCAGCTTCCACAGTCTCCCATGGCTCAGGCCCCTCGCCCACTGCCACACTCTTCTCCAGCAGGGACAGGAGAGGGAGGACGTGGGGGAATGTGGTGTTGGACAGTGGACAGCTTTCTGCGGGACAGACACACACACAGTAAGTGCTCCTTGTTTAAACTGTGTTGTGGTCTGCAAATAGACCAACAGGAATCAGTATACAACCAGGCTTTGTTCACAGCAGCATGTGGTGCACAGTTTGGGAGAACCTCTACCTCTTCCATCGTTCAGGCTCTTCATAAACGGCCTCAGAGTTTTCTCGTAGAGAATAGCGCCCTCTGTGTGTCGCTGTCGCAAAGCCGTCCAGGTCTGCTCCAGACGGGACACCTGGGGCACAAAGCATCACCATTAAATCCTGGAAATAATGCTTCCAGATGCAGGGGTGGTGCCAGAGGGTGCTCGGGGGTGGCACAGGCCCCGTCGCAGCACCTGACCACCCCACCCATCACCACCCCCCAAAACGTGATTTCAGTGCTTCAATTTTAAGTAAATAAATAAATAAGGCCCCAGGGTATTTAAGACAGCAGTCCTTGTATTTTTGTTACACCAGTGAAAGATAAGAAGCTCATGGGGCAGCATCATCAGTGTATGACAGTACTCATTGCTCTTTATGTACAGTAGGGAAAAGGTTGTACTGCAGACTGACTAGGGCAGTAATGACAATTGCTCCCACCCTTGTGACACATAATGTATTAACCTCTTCACTGTAAATAGGTTTGATCTCAGACAGGGACAGTTGTTCTCTCTTCCTATGTTTTCTGTCGGTCTCCACTACAGTAAAAGACAAAACTACTCTAAAAGATACTAAAAAGAGGTATGAGCACAATTCCAGCCTGTGTGTGTATCTACCTGTGGCAGCTCTAAGGCTCTCATGACAGCAGCAAAGCCGAACATGTTGCCCATGGTGCTCTTGAGCTCAGCGGCAATTTGGATGATTTTATGAAGTAGACCGGCCCGCTCCTCATTCGTGCCTGTGCAGCCCAGCACATGCACAGCCAACATGGTCGCCATGGTATGAAACCTGCAGGGATGTGGACAGAGGGGGAGATGCGAACTTTACAGTTTAGCTCATAGCCCAGTCATACAGTGTAACATGAGAAGGACACAAAAGCCACATGCTGCTTTAAGAGGTCAATTTTCATCTGTCCTAAACAACATCATTAACAATCTGCAGCCACACGATTAACTTTACAGTTCTTAGATCTTCCCTGGTGGTACAGCAAAAAGAAAGTTTATCATGAGTGTGTAAACTGAGAAAACTCAGCTTGTTGGGCTCTGCTCTGTGTTGTGAGTTTTGAACCATTCAGTGATATGCTAACATTTAGCATGTTAGCCGCACAGTGTACTAACTATGGCTGTATTATACTGTAAGAAGGGCTGGATGTGGCACTGCAGCTTAGCATTTCTGCTCATTTGTCTCACTGGCCAAAAAAATCACCTGCTGCTTGAAAAACCTTTTGACTGCCTTTAAAAGAGACCTCTCTAAAACTGTTGCAGGACAATTCCAGCTACAAAAAAACCAAGATTTACTCCCCAAATTATGAATTTTTTATCCACAAAGCTTTCCCAAACCCTAGAAAAGCCATTTTTAAGGAATGTGTGGCAGCAGCAGAAGCACTGACATGCATGGAGCTAGAAAACCTTTGTGGCTTGTGTGGTTTGCAGGTAATTTTCACTGAAATAAACAGGTGCCACCTTGGAGTCCAGCATCCAGGTCTTGTGATGCATCTATAGTATTAACATCCAAGGTATTAGCACATAAACCTGAGCTTACCTAGGCCTCTAGAGTGTGAGCGTTTTGTTTACTACATATAACACCCAGTATGTACTTAGTAACTAAGGCTCTCTGCAGGCTCTGTTCTGTGCTCGGCCAGTAAAGAAACCACTGTCACAGCTCTGAGTGCCCGTGTGTGGACTGTAGGACCAAGTGGCTGGAGGAGGCTTTCTGCACATTTGTGGGTGGAAGTGGCAAAGAGTTCTGAATACTTCCTCACCTCTCCAGCAGGTCCAGTCTAAGCTGTTGCCCATGAGGCAGCGTGAGCAGCTCCATCCCAGAACTAACTCCCATCATCCTTTGCACCTCCGGAGTCACCTCCAGAATTCTGGCCACCTGGAAAACCCAGACATCATTACTATTGGTCTGCTTCGTGTGAGTCTTTCTATTGGATATATAATTTAATGCCTTGTATCTACATCACATACAGTAGTCCTATATGTGTGTGCTGCGTTTGATAACAGGTGTGTACTTTGCTTTCTTTAGTAGGTTCCAACTATATGAGCAAAAATATCAGAAAACATTGCATTAAAACACAACATTGCTATCACCTCATAATGAACTTGTTCTGGCTAACAGGCAAACAGTTCCCAATCAACATATCCAGAAGATCCGGAGCAACATTAGCGCTCCTTTTCATGTTGTCCTTTCATGTTCATGTCCACCTAATGAATGGAAGGCCAATATTCACTCGCCTTTAAGCTCTGGTTTGGTCTCTGCCAGCTCCTGAGAAAAATATCTGGCTCTGTAGCTACTAGATGTTTTGCCTTTGTTTAAAAAGCAGGATTAGACCAGTATGAAACCGTACCATGCAGTCAGCCTTGGTGATGTGTTTGGCCACCGCCCTGGGGTCAAGTTCAGCCAGCAGCTCCTTCACCCTCCGCAGGACACCCACCTCCAGAGGCTTATTCTCCTTGGGCATCAGTGACGACTGGTACCTGCTTGGTTTGAAACAAGAGACCGTCTCCACCACCGGAGAAAAGTACATGTTCCCATCCTCCACCCTGAGTGGATCAGTGCCCACTGAACCTTCCTTTACCCACAGCCTATCCACGTAGCTCTGAGGACCAGGGTACAGCTCTGTGTAGCAGCTTCCATCTGTATCAGAGGAGGGGGCATCCTGGTTCAGAGGAGGTTGGGGTCTGTTGTTAGACTGTCTTTGGAGGGTGTTTTTTGGGGAAGGCAGGGGTCGGGCAGGGTCGGCGCGCCTGGAGAGGGACGGGGATGGAGCCACGCTGACTGCCTGGCTACTGCAAGGACTTCTGGACAGTGGGGCTGCAGATGGAGTATAACACCACCTTTAACTATGACCTCAGTAATAAACATATAATTGTATTTACACATTTATGACAATTTCACAAAAAACTGAAATGTTTTGAGCTTTGTGAATGCAGATGTTAAGGCGGAAGTGTTGCAGTGAATTGGTGTACCTAATAATGTGGCTGTGAGTGAATATGTTTTAATATGTGATTCACCTATCTCTCACCAGAACTTGTCGACTGTTTGTGCGAACAAGGTACCAGAGCAGTGATTAAACCCTTCAACTTACATCAAACGAATGATTTTACAGTGACCAGCAGTACTCTATGTAGCCAGTGTTACCATTCTCATAAATGTAAACTGTAACCTTCTCTCCACATTTAAATTTTATTTCTGAATGATTTTTACCATTTTTGCTCAGTTATATTGTTCTTTTATTGTCTTTGTCTTGGTTTCATTGTAATGTATTTTTTTTAAATCAAGTCCAGTTTTAGTTATTAGTTTAGTTTGTCTTATGTTTCTTGTATTTGTCAAACCATCTGGATTTGCTACTTCTGTATTTTAATAATGAATATACTGTATATTCATTATTAAAGATCACTGCTCAAAAAAACTGGTGAGCAGTGACATTAGAAGTGCTGGAGCGAAGATTCATTAATAAAAATAAAGAGGAAACGCATCCGTACATGGTGATCAATGCCAAATTCATTTATTAAAGCAAGTTTTCCATCAGGGACCTTTACATAGCAACATTTAACCTGAGTACAACACTGTAATAGTCCCAGCAGGTGTTTTAACTAAAATATATAGTGTTAATGAAAGGATGAGAGTGGGAAATGTGATTAAAACAAACATCTTCCAAGGAAATCTCTCATCTCCTTTTCAGGTTCGTTGTCCTGTGTCCTGCATGTGGATCTTATCCCAGTATTACATCTAAAGTTCAAGGTTCCTAAGTTCACCTCTGCAACCTCTCTCTAATTGTGCTCTCCCTTTTGTAATCAACCTACTATCGTGCACTCTGAACATCAGTCCTGTTAGTTCACTGCATGCACACGCCCTTTGAGCTGCTCTGACCAAACAGTCTGCAGTCTGCTGCAAGGGAGGGTGCATGTACAAACGAGAAGCTCGTGTTGACACAAGAAGCCTGCTGACTGGGGTGTTCTCGGTAAGTGTCCAGACTAAACAAATCAAGACAAGTGTTAGTTAGTGTTAGTGACAAAGTTTTAGTAGCTGAAAATGCTTCTTAAACTTTGCAGTAGTTGTAGTGTTCCTGTTGCATACCGTGAGTATTGCTGTGGTGTTTGCGTGCAGGAATGGATTGTTCAGTTAAATATGTGCAGATGCTTATATTTTTTCACAAGCAGAAAGGAATTTCCAGATGTTTTATAACAACAGTACTGGATGTTACAGCATGTACAGTACTGTATGCACTGAGTAATCTTAGGTGCTCACTCACCGTTATGGTATTCCTAAAATTTGACTTATAAACTTTTGGAAGAAAATCAAAGTTTAGTGGTTGGATAAGCCGACTCAACAACAGGAAACATAATGGGATACTGATTCAGTATTAAAATGTTATGTTAATGAAAGAAAGAACACTGGGGAACTGTTTTGGAAACCATTCACTCTCAGTTGACATGCACATGGCCCAGATGAGGCACAATCCTATCTTTCTTTATGCAGCTGTATATGTTACAGCTGGTCCCGGATATTTAACTTATTGCTCTCAACTCTCAGGTCTCCAAAACAGTTACTCATAACCCACACAGAAAGTTATTAACAGCTTTTATTTTAGCTCAGAAAAGAGCTCACATCCTTAGTACTTGGTCTGCAGCTAATATACCATAGTTTTATGAAATGTTACCTAGTTTTACTTGCATATACATTTTTTAATTGAAATGTAGCATAACATTTTATTTGTAAAAGTTTTAATTAATTATTTATGGAATTGTTAAAATGTATATGAATGTTAAAAATGTTTTAAAATAACTGTCTTCTTCTCCTTCTCCCTCTTCCTCTCATTATTTATTTTATCAGTAGTAGTTGTTGTTGTTGTAGCAGTAGTAGTGGTGGTGGTGGTGGTAGAAATGCATATGTATTATCTTTAGGAAATTTGAGACTAATTAACATTTTGAAACTAATGCTGAACATTTTAATGAGATGCAGTACTTGTAATGCAAAAGCTCCTCCAGACTTTGACCTTGTAAATACAGAAAAGCTGCAATTAAATCCCCTCTGCAGTTGGACACATACATGTGCAGTAAACCTGAGACAGGGAACAGCTACCAAATGCAAAGAGCTAATCCTCCTGGAACTCAGCAAAAGGAATTCCCCCACAGTGCAGCTGTGTGATCAGGAAGCTGCAGGAAATATAGGAGTTATGTAAGTGCTGGAGCTGTGTGCCTCAATTTTATGGAGAAATAAATTCCTTTGTGGAAAGAGTTGTGCCTCAGGTTTGTTCTAGCTGAACTTTTAGCAGACATCACTCTCGAGTGTATTTGTTCAATTGAGAGCCAGAAAGTTTTACTGCTGTTTGCACTTCAGTACACAACAGAAATCAATATCGCTAACCTTTTGTACTGTCTGGCACATTAGTCTTAATCCCAAAGCCACCTGACTACGGTTGTCCTGACACTGATACTAGTATCAGGTATCGGGTCCAATACCACCCTCTAGTACTCGTACTATTAAAGTTATCTGATACTATACACCAATACCACTTAACAGCAACATTAACATCAAGCTGGTTCAGCAAGTTGGTGGTCAGAGGAGAAGAAATTTTAGCAGTTTGGAGCAGTTAGCACCATCGCCTCACAGCAAGAAGGTTCCGGGTTCGAGCCCGGGGCCTTTCTGTGCAGTCTGCATGTTCTCCCTATGCCTGCATGGGTTCTCTCCGGGTGCTCCGGCTTCCTCCCACACTCCAAAGACATGCAGCTTTGGTTGACTGGTGACTCTAAATTGCCTGTAGGAGTGTGTGTGAGTGTTTGTCTGCATGTCAGCCCTGTGATAGACTGGTGACCTGTCCAGGGTGGACCCCACCGCTCATCCAGTGTCAGCTGGGATTGGCTCCAGCCCCTTGCGCAACCTTATTCAGGAATAAGATGTGTAGATAACAGATGGATGGATGGAGACATTTTTTAAAAAGCTGGCTGCAAGCTCTGTTTCTCTGCTCTGTGTGTCTGACGGAGGGGTGATCACAGATGCCCTGTGCGTGTCTGTGAGCCCACACAAACAGCGGACAAGATAACGAGACTGTATGTGAGTGAGATGACAACGCTCATTGTGGGCAACAAAACCTGCCAGTAATAGAAAAGGTACTTGCATATTTCAAGCACATGTTGAACAAGCAGGAAAAAACCTTGCAGAATTGCAACCGCTTCACTGTCCTCTCGGTGAACACACACCTGGTCTCCTGTCCACCCACTAATCCCACACAGCGCTTGTGCTGATTGTAGTGAATTGTTGTGAATGAGAAGAAAATGTGTACATTTTATGTAGTTCACAGTTGAGTCTAATGAGCAGAGTGTATGAAGAGTTTAGTTGAGTTTTTGTAGACTTAGAGCCTGAGATCAATGTGTGCAGCAGACGGGCTGCAGATCAGTATGCACCCTTTTAAATTACACATTTAAACTACTGACTATGACTTTCTGTGCTTTTTTGGCACCCTGGGTAGTGATATCGCAAAATAGTTTCACCCTAAAAGTGACCTGCACTTCTAACAAGGTTAAAATCTGCTGTATTACAATATGTGCATGTTTTATTGTTTTTATTTTTAGTTATGCTGTCACGATTTTAGATTTGTACAGTAAGCACTTTGGTCAGCTGTGGCTGTGGTAAAGCGCTATATACATAAAGTTGAGTTGAGTTGAAAGTTGAGTATGTTTTGCAGTAGGCTACAGGAAATGCGTTATACATTGTATTTATTTGGAGTGGTGGCAGTGCTGTGTTTGTTTACAAAATTTTAAGATAAATTGCACAGCTTCCTGATATTTTATTAATCACAATCAGAAAGTAAATCTCATGAATATGAATAGACCGTTAAACAGGTGAGTGAATTCAAATTATACTTTTGTATCTGCAAGGATCCACGTAACGTATATTTCACCATCCGTCCAGCTTCAAGCATCCATATGGACCTCTGTGTGCATAAAGTGACCCAAAATTTAAGACAGTGCATGCAACATGTGTACGTGAGGAAGTATCCACATATGCAGATATGCCTTTTAGAACAAACAGCCCCTTGCGTGTCTACTGTCCATGGCCATCTGGAAGAATATCCAGGCCCTTCATGCTGTGTCTACACAGGAAGCAGCAACAGCAGCATCAGTGTTCCATGTGTGTCTGCAAAGGATGTGTTCAGGCACACTATTAAACTGTAAGTCACTCATGTCTTGGCAGCACTCAGAGCCCAACACGCAATCACTGTAGTTACTCAGGGGAATGTTTTGGAAACTCAAAATTGCCCAGCAGCAAATCCCTCCCAAACTGCTGACGAAAATTTGTTGGACTCAACATGATGAGACAAAAACACAATTCTACATATGCAGTATATACAGTAGATTACATCTCTAGTTTCTGTATTCAGGTTTGTTATGACCACGAGCAGTCCCACAACACATCTACTAAGGATCAAAGGAGCCTGTCTAGAAGCCAAACCACCCACAAACTCTGCTTAGTGGGTCAGATTACAACCTGACTTTGAAAGGTTTTGAATCTTGTGATGATATTCTACATTTTTATCTAGTTACTAATCAGACCTCTCTAACCAGATTTACTAAAACTTCCAAATGTCAGACTTTTCAGTGGGTCCTTTCCAGACTACAAGAGAAACTAGAGCTCTAGGTACTGCAGATGTAAAATGAAATATTTTAATGAAACACATGATGTTACTAATATAATCTGAAATTGGATAATCTACAGTTTTAGTTCATCATAAGAAATGGGACCTCTGCAACAGAACAAGTCATTATTGAAACCACTAACCAGAGTTTGCAAAGGAGTCCAGTTTTCAGAAA